TTTTCGGACGCATAGAGACACGCAAATCAATAGAAGCATGAATGTTGTCATTCAAAATTAAGTGTGTATTTTTTGAAGAGATAAAGATTAATTTCTTTTAACAAACAAAAAAGCTCGGAGTTAAATTGAAACTACCGAACGTCTGTCCATTGATATTAATCACACTGTTTAAAAGAGCCACTTTCGCTAGTGGTCGTTACTCGATCCCCTGTATAAATGACCATGCCGTTGCGTTACTCATGACCATAACAATGCTTTTGAGGACTATACTAGGTTTTTTTTTCATCAGCAGTTTCACCGTGAACCTACTAACTCACAGCGTTATCTTGAAAAGTTTCCTTGGGCTTGAGAACATCACAACTCATTGAGAAGCTTTTCTATGTGAACGAGGCTAAGGGAATTGAATGAATGTGGGTGCCGAAAAAAAAAAGACAAGAGTCACTCATAACGAGATGAACCTGTTATTGCCCAGACTTTAAATTTACGCACTTGTCCCGTCGACTTAGGATAGCACCCAGCCGCAGTAGCCATCCTGGTACAAAGTAATTTGGGTTCGAAATGAACGGCGGCCGCGGGAAGCCGTTGAGGAGCGCTTCTTATTATTTCAACCACTGAGAATCCATGGTGACTCTGGGGCTGGATGTCGAAACAAGCGGTCAGCCACGTTTCTAATTCTCGAAGCTTGCTGTAAATAAATTAAATTATGAGACACCAAGGACTTTTAACTTCCAGTGCACACCCATACGCACATAGACATATATGACTTTCTATAAAGGAATGTAGATGCCTTCTGCCGCAGGCCACGTTTCTGCCTGTCGTTATCGTACTATATTGGTTAAACAAAGAGCTCACAATGGGACATTCTTCGAACAAAAACGGAAAAAAATTCGAATCAATGTGCCATATGTGGATGCGTCACTGCAGCAGAAAGCTTGCTATGGGTCTGATTTTGTTACGTATCAGTCTGCGTTCTACAACAATGCAACGTAAAGACTTCTTTATGGAACTGGCACGTACTAGCTTGTTGGTCCATATTATGTTGACCGAATTTTGTAATCAGGAGTTCACCATTTTTTTTTTTTTTTTTATCAGAAGCTCAATATTTTGCTATGCGCTCTTTAGGGTTACGATGTATGTTCATTCCAATAGCCTTTTTCGGTCTACCTCTATTTGGTCATTTTTAATGGCATAATTTTTGACTCTGTTTGAAGAAGCTGTGTGGCGGTGCTATAGAGATATATTGGAACTTAGCATTTTTCATCGTTTAACGAGTAGGAAGATAAAGTAAGGATATAAACATGTTTTTAAATCGAATACTTGTCTAAAAAAGATAGCTTTGTATAGCTTGCTTTCCCACTGTCCCATGAGACCGGCTGACGATGTCTACACAAAATTAGCCAGATAACAAGGGACAAAGCGTATATTTTTATTATATGTTGAAATCTGCTACGACTGTCGACTATGTGGTGATTCAATGTTCAACCATATATATGTAACGGACCTCATTTAGCACCGATAAGATAACCTATTTTGTGAAACTGCGTTCATTTTAATTTGCAAATTCAGCTAAAATCGAAACACCCAATGAATGATCTCACGTAGTCTGTCTTAGTATTTAGTGACGTCAGAATCAAAATCTAAAACGCTATGGCTGATTTAACGAATACCGTAATAGCAGACACATGTCATTGTTAACGTGCGAGTATATCGTGTAGATCTGGAGGGCGCGCATCTATAGTCATTTAGTACGGAATTGTCGCTAAGTCCTCACACTTTACGAATAGCTTTTTTTTTTTTACTAGCTTGACCTACAGCGTTGCACTGTCCGTGCAATTATCTACAGATATTCATACAAAGCTACCGGTACATATGAGGGACCTAAAGCAAACATTGAAAGCTTTGGCTCTTAAGTAATTTACGATATCAATTCTGCTAAATCGCAGCTATAGCTAGATAGATAACTGCCTCCGTATTATGCTTCCTGAATACCAACACCGTCCCTTCTTAATTTTTTTTTCTGAGTCTCACTGGCGGCCGTTGATAGTTGTGATCTATATTTTCTGCATTCTATTGCGAAAGCCTTATTAAGCCTTGATGTCAAAGTCGCGAGCAATTCGAGCTAATAGTGGCCGCTTGGTTGGCTTGATTACTCGCTTGAGTGGAGCTGCAGCCGTTACCTGCGTCGTTGGTCCTGTTTCCGCTTGTGAGAAAGCAGCTCAGTGTTAGTGAGTGTTTTCCGTCTCATTGTTGAATTTACATGCAGATCCAGGAATGGATGGACGGACGCACGATCACACGTTGACTATGTTCATGTTGACGACGTTTGAGGATTAACGCACACTAAAGTGGTAGGCCACCAAGCCGACGCACTAGTACAAAGGCGGACAGATGCGCTCCACAACCACACGAAACGCGAAACATAACCCTGCTCGAATGGTGCCTGAGCGCTGCTTTCGCAGATAAAACATCATGTAAGTGCATACACACTCCGAGGTTCACACAAATGACGAGATACGGAGTTAGGCAAAAGAACACCAATGCCCTATGTTAACTAAGAATATGAGTAATTTGCTGATGATGGCGATAGAACATGATGAAATAGGATGTGAAACGGAAAAACGCTGGACGCCAGGTCTCTGCGAGAGGTTCGAGGGGAGCCAACGAAAAATCGACCTCGGGCTACTAGAGTCCAGCTGCAGGCGCTCCTTAACCACAATAAACAGCAGCACAAACGACTATAGCACGAAGAATTTTACGGATGGACGGCTATAGCTCTTGGAAGAATTTGGGGCATAAATATAGCGAACGCGGATTTTTCCCAGCTTGAGTGAACCAACGCAGAGAAAGAAACTGAAGATGATTACACATGTGATATATAAAATTCTATTGTGGTACTGCTCGAATTGACCCTGTGCCCCTTCTCGGGATTTGTAGTCATTCCGTGGAACCTGGGTTCCAAGAACTAGATAAGCATTCCATCGCTGCATTACAGGAAGCCAGTAGCCGGTGACAGCGTAATCAAATGTGCATGTGTGTGTGCAGGCAAATTAGTTCGGTATAGCAGAGGTAAACGGAGACAAGATAGAGAACTAGATAGCACACGAGCAGCGTGCACACAGAAATGAGCTGCCCAGTTACAGTTTAAACCCAGTTCGTACTGGCGAAAGATGATTTGGTTTTATTAGCGTTTTCCTCCCAAAGGAAGGCGCTCGTGTGAGCTTATTCCACGTTCATTGCGAACCACCTTTATCGCTATCAGGGCATCTAACGCTACCGCGATGCCACTTAACTGCGCAAGTCATTGACTCTAGGTAATAGCATGCACGCCTTCCCCGCCTAGGCTAAATCGTTTCTTGTATATGAAGCGGGGTAGCGAGGTACAAACGCCTCTGCCCCATTGTGTACCGCTAGAAAAACAGCTAGAACAGTAACAGTGACACGCTAATTATTTGTCGGAGACATTTCTTTTTTACGAAGCAAATATAGCTATCGTTGAAGATAATAATTATTTGCAAATGGGCTTGAGGATGGCAAGCATTACTCTATTTCAATCGGCAGCAATACTTCCTTTCGTTTCAAGCAAATTGTTTGCTCTCATCGCATTGAAATATGCGTCGTGCGCTGACAGGCTGTGATTAAGTTCTCATCACTACTACTGGCGATATCCCCGTTGTCGGGACCGTTTTATCGTTGTGTTGAAGACCAGTCATTAGATGAGCTTGCATTTCGTTGCTTGCTGTTGGCTTGTCGAGCTGATTTTAGAAGTAACGATGGTGCTTTATGATGCTCGAAACTCTCTAGATGCCTATAGAACAGGGCTGTAGTATGATGCTATCGTATCGTTGTGAGCGCGTTGTTTGTTAGTCGATACTGCTTTGTTTGAGGAACTATCGATAATACTCCCTATTTCTTGATTTTGCCCTAGCAGTAGATAGTCGAGAACCAGCGAACCCGCTGCTTGCGTGCTAGCTTTCTGTACTAAAGGGGTACTAAAGATACTATATTTGGCGTGAAGATTGCATAACTTTTGTCGACGGTCGCAAGGCTGAACACCAATGGCAAATAATGAGGCCAAGACGGGCAAGGAATCAGTCAACCTGTTTAGTACATTCATTTCGTCCTTTAACAACCTGTGGCTGTGTCCCTATAACACGCGTCAGTAAAAGATACTTTTTGTGACTCGTACCTTGAGAATCCATTACTGATACTACCTCATTAAATATTCGTCGAATAGCTGGTCCCGTAACGTGTCCACTGGCAATCTACGACAATTCGTTCCTTGAATGTAGCGATGTATATCGGTGTGGTGAGATTGCCTATCTATCGGACGTATTTCTTGTACAGGGTTGAATTGCTATATCTGTTATAGTCATTGTGTCATAGCAGACGTAGTAATGGGCTGAATACGTGATCATTTTGAAATTCCCAAAAAAAATGGCTTTCAGAAAAACGTCAAGCGTTTCATAATCTTCCATCTGGATTGGAACATCTAGTACATATTTCGAAAAGGGCACCCTTTAACAAACATGTTAATTCAATGAAATTGTTGTTTACTTCGATCACAGCTTCAACTCAAAGCTTGAACAATTTAAATGTCGTTCGCAGAAATAAAGCTCTATATATACGTTTTACAGTAACCGTGAGTAAAGCGATATTGGTAAGCTTTTGGAGGCTTCGTTCAACGACGCAAAATATATCTAGCGGACATACAATTTAGGCTAGCAATAGGGTAAGGCTCCTAAAAAGACGTCGTAGAATAATTGACCTTTAATCAGATTTCGTAGATGAACTTCAAACGCTTTCTTTGCTCACGTTCTATTTGGAACAAGCTCTCTTACAGACCCACAATGGTGGATAAGCGTATTTCTGAGGATGATAGATAGCACCATCTGTCGAAATTTCCTTTAATTTCAACAGGCCGTCTTGTATGTAATCCACACATACATAAACATATATATTATACATTTATAAGCACGCTTAGATTTGTGCGATACACTTACTTCACGCACCTCTGTTCGGCCCACGTTGATGCTGGCCCTCTCGTAGCACTGTTGTCGTTCCGTGGCTGTTGAATCACCTTAAAAGCGAAAACAGAGGAAGGTTTATTGATTGTTTGTTAGCCAATATTTAAATTTTGACGTTGTTACTAGTTTTTCATTGTATTTTGTTATAGCGGCATCCTGTTTTGAAGAAAGGTAATTTTTTATTCCTTCATTTACATCACAAAACAATCAGTAAAGGAATAATGGGTCCCAATAACTTCTTAGACTAAAAAGGAGCTGAAAGATTTGATCAGCTGGTGACAGCAGATTAACGACGATACAGTATCAATCATTAAGCTGAACCGAACGTAGGGGTCTAAAACCCAGATAGAGAGCGCCCCGAATTTAAAAAGAAGTAATCAAAGTTAACGGCAAGATAAACACGGATAAAAGCAGTAGGGACGTGCGAATGGATCTCAGTTCCGGCAACTTCATTAAGAAAAATATTTGATTCTCCGATTGATTTTCATTTTCTATCATTTATTAGAAATGCTGTAGTCGGCCCTCTTTATCGTACAACAAGAGCTGCTTTCTTAACTGATTAATATAGTAGTACGACCTCAGTAACTACTTTGATATATCCGTTTGAAATTATGAAGTTTTTGTCGCGAGGTGATAAAATGAACGATCGCAATGTTCATGTCGCAGAAGGATAGAAGAAATGATCGCTTGTTGAAGTTTTTATTGCGAAAACTTTAAAACATAAAAATTGCCGACGATGCGGCTCTTTAACGAGACTTTAATCGTATAAATCCCAATATTTATTTGCCTTTGAAGTAATACCTGCGGATCTCCAGCCACGTGCGCCACTGTTTTTTGTTTTTGGTCTTTAAAGCTGTTGTTAGACTGTTTCGTTGAAATCGACTTAAGCTTTGCTCGGGTCTTCGCTTGGATTTTTTTCATTCGCTATACCTTTAATTCCTTTTAGGTGTTTTTTGAGCTTTGGGAAAAGGTTAAAATCAAGAGCTGTATAACAGATGAATAGAGAGATCAAAGCTATACGGACATCAAATTATCTTTAGAAAGGGCGACACAAACAGTGCCATGGGAGCTCGTGCATTGTTGCAGCAAAGAGCCCATCACCTGTCGTCTCAAAGTTCTGGCCTATTTTTTGCAGACAATATCATGCAGTCTTTTTAAAACTTTTTGGTAATATATTCCAGTGATGGTATTACCACTCGTGTTAGTCTAAGAAGGAGCTCGGCTGTTGACATGGTTTTACAGCCTTCTTTAGCCCGGACTTGTCCTTGAGCTTTACGTAGACGATCGTTGCCCTCGTACAACTCCGCCTCATCACGCGTTCACAGACTCCTCTTTGAATAAGCTGAGGTCTTTCTTGAATACTTGTTGGCTTATTTGAATTTGTTTGAAATATATATTATGATGACGCGTCCCAAGAATATTATCCAATCCTATCGTCGCTATGGCTATCTGAGTACAGGGCGTAGAGCAATTAATTTTTTCATAATGCATATGTATCGGCACTAGTGGGTCGTTACTACAGCTGGTGACAATCAGAGGGGCAAAGTTGTTGTCAAGAGACTAGCCAAATTGAAGATGGGCAAAACAATCGTACAAGCTGGAAGGCTGCGGTCCGCGGTAGAACGTTTGGCAGAGAGCGTGAAACGAGTCGCTGTGCCAACGAAGCTACTACTATTTCTTGACTACCTGCGGTCTGGGCGATAGATAAGGACTTTGGACGCACGAACAGATATCCACGGCTGGTTGCACAAGAATCTGTTCGGGATTGCCTCTAGACTTTGCCAGATTCAGCTGAGTACTGGTTCGAATCTGCTATGGGCAGCAAAGCAACGTAGGATGAGTTCAGAGCTCGTCTATTCTACGGGAAGCACAAGCTTGCGCGGGAAAATAGTATGCGTGGGTCTGAAGGTGATGAAAAGCGGTTTCTATTGAAGCCTGTTGGGTTGCCGTTTGAATTCAATTCGTTCCAGGAAGGTGTGAAGGAATCGTGCCAGCAGCAGGACGCTTAGACAATCACTTTACTGCAGCGTTGCCGCTTGGTCTCACAGCTCTTAAAAGACTCCCATACGACCACCAAATCGGCAGAGTCAGTAAACATGCGTAGTCCTCTATCGTGCGTATTCCGTGTCCACTATCGTATGTAAAGTCGTTTCTAAGCTGAACATCGGAGCTTCAAGAATGGCTAGATTCGACACGCTAGTTTGATGCAATACAAAGCTCGCTATGAAATTCGAAGACTCTGAGTTAGCCAATATGAAGACAAGCGGACCCATCGTTAGGCTTAATGCAAAACTAAATGTTCCGATGCGCGTACTGTTTAATCAGTTCCTGCCTCAAATTCGTTCCATGCGATCCCGGACCGAAGCCATGATCATATCCGGTTATTCTGTGTAGACATTTAGAAAACTGTACAACGGATACCAAAGCCTTTCCATATTGGTCCTGGCATATATTCACATGTCAGGAAAGTTGTGGCCTGCTGTAAGGTTGGCAAAATCCAAAGCCTAGAAGGCAATAGCATGTATTACAACGTTCGACAATCGGCTACAGAAAACGCCGAGTTGTATACGTTAAGAGGTCACCGAGTGTGATCTCAGTAGCCAAGAGCCAAGGAGCAAGAAAGAAACAGATCACATGCGGACGGTTCTAGACCGTATGTGGGACGCATATGTGGGTAACAAAGCCACGTGCCTTTGTGCGTACCGATAATATTTAATTTCTTGTATTTCCGTTGCTACTTTTATAGAAGGACGAGGCCTAAGGCAAATAAGTCGCTTTTGTACCGGTACTAGTACATCATATATATATCTTGCAGAGTTGTGCATATTGTTTATAAAGCTGTAGTACGGCAAAATGTTACAGAAGTATCAAGTAGATTGCGTGCAACGTAAGCGGCAACCAGAACGAGTGGTATATTATCACTTTCGTTTGATGAATATTGCCGTGTTTCGTTGCGTTAATACAGATCATGCAGGACTACAGGCGATACCTTTATGAAAACAATTTTTTGCCATTTGTAACGCATATGGTGCTCGGCCTTAAAAGAAGACTGTTTCAAATGTTTGCTTTAGTTGAAGATCACCCCCCGAACTTCGCCTGAAAAAGTGACTTCGCTACACAAGTCGATACTGTTAGTAATATTCTATTTAACGTGTTACCACTGCTCGGCCAGCAATATCTTTAAAACTAATTAAATGTGCAGGCACGGACCCGTAGAAATATTTGGCATTGGTATGTCTGAGGCGGCTATATTGCACCATCCAATCAATTTTTCTTCGTCGTGAGCCTTCAGATAGATATATATATACAGGCAGTTCCATAAAAAACAAAAAGAATCACAAAGTTTTAAAAATGTGAAAAGCATCTTTTGCAAAAATACATACACTACAGACAACGTTTTCTATTAATTAGGATACTAATTCGGACTGACCGCTTCAGTACCCTGCGGTGATACGTAACTGTATCCCATTAGGGCCTGACGAGTCGTGCAAGTGCATTACGCTATTATGAAAGACGGCGCAGGGCCTGTAGCAGAAACTCGGACAACTCTTGATGACGACTACTCACAATTCTTCATTTGAGCATTAAAAAAAAGCTCTTGTTTATCTGAGTTATATTAAACTGTCAACATGTAGGTCGAAACGATACGACGTCCACAAGTTGCTAATGTCAAACATAGGACATAATAAGGAAACCTTGATACGACGATTAGTCATAGAACTGTAACTGTTCGAACTATTCAAATAAACGTTTAGTAGATTTATTTTGATTCGTATTAGGGTTTCACTAGTGAAATCAGTAAAAGTTGTAACTTAACGTCTTGTGTGCAAAACCATTATTTGTAAGCGAAACATTTAATAAGTAAAAAGATCCACACTTTTAGAGGGTGTTACCTTATAGAAACCATCTATTCTATGTTAGTCGGATTTTTCTTTAAAAAAAAAAGTGCCTTTTACTTATACAGGATTTTCTGGTGCAGTGGTATGTGTACCCTATAAACTTAAATATCAACGAGACGATATTTTCGTATTCCAGTAATCGTGATTTTTTTACTGCGTACGGAAATGCACTCTATCATACTTCGAAGGGTTGCTGCTTGTGCGAAACTATAAAAGATGCTTTATCTGCTTACCCTCACAAGGTCTTGCATCGTACCCTCTACCAAAACGCTATGCCTGTTGATGTAGTCGTCCTACCAGTCGTCTCTTCTGACTCGCTGCTCAAACTAGTTCTTTATGCGCTGACCAGGCCATTATTATTTGTCCTTGTAGTGACAACGGACCCATTCTGTGCTATGTGTTGATACAACATACACGCCTATTATAAAGACAAGGAGGAATTGGTCTACGTATCGCAGTAGAGTTTCATCTAAGGAATGATGAAGTAAATAGGGGCTTCAGTCTGGGTTAACTTCCCAATAAATGTTCCTACAGTGTCCCAGGTCGGTGCCCTATTTTATGCTAGCAAATTACATTGTTCGTCCTAATACTAACACGAGATCGTTGTGAGGATAATAAGGTTCATATAGGACGGCGGCAAGAAAACTCCATTGATCTTCATCGACCGAATGTTAAACTAAAAGATGTATTGCTGCATGGTATCGTCTGCGCGTGATCGTAACAAACCCAAAACAGTTAGGAGAACTAGCAAAGTGTGGCAAAAGATCAATGAACCAGCGGTCAAATAGACTGCTGCCAGATTCTGCTATTATGTAAGATGAGGAAACGAAGTTGCTCATATCAACAAATAGATTAAAAAAAAAACATATAAAAATAAATTTTAATAAATCGACATGTTGAAAGACATAGCTTTTTGTCGAGGGTGAAGAACACTCCCAACGTTAATTCTTGTCGAATGGTGATTAATTAGATTGTTACAGATACCACAGTGCGCAAGAGATCAGCCCTATGCATTATCTCGGATATTCGATGTCTGAGACCTGGATTATTCATTATTCGGTATTTATAATCAAACTCAATCTCGCGCCATATTTCTTTGTCAGTATGTGTATTCATTCCAGCATTTGTACAAAAATTACCATACCCCTACGTAT